TGAAGAAGGTGTTCATAAAGGACAATCCGTTGTTGGCACAAAACCGCGACAACTTCATGCGGTTATTATTGAGGTCGCTAGGGCCGTATTTCCCAATCACGCCGTTCCACTTTTTAACGTCTACTCCGACGTGCGCATTAAAATGGCCCCCAATATGTGGGACTCTGTATTCGGCACTTCAGACAGAGCGCACTGCACTTGCTCAAGGAAGGCCTCATATTCTCCCTCCAAATTGGGCGCATAGACCTGTCCCAAGGTCATCGATTTAGCCTGTTGTAGCTTTAGTCGGAGGATTACCACCCTTCCGCTGACACTCTTCCAATCGATTATTCTATCGGCAATGTTGGGTTCTAGAACGCCAACACCGGCCTGACCACGAGTCGTGATATCGACCCTGAGTAGAACAGCTTCCATCCATTGAGGTTCAGGGGTCCAGAGCCTGGGCGTTTTGTTGACGGGCGCTCAACAATGTCGAGTTAGTACTTTATGTCCTCATCCACCAATTTTTGTTCTTTCTTCTGAGTGAGAATATGTTCCAATTCCCGACTTTTAGCTCTCACTGGTGGTGTCGTTCTCGTGGAGCCTTTTCTGACGTGCTATAACGGCATCGAGCTGTCTGCCTCCTCCCTTCAGAACGGATAGCGACTCCGTTGCTGACTGGTATCTTCGTCGTCGTTCGGTCGGTCTTCGTCAGCCATCGTTGTGCTACTGCCCCCGGCTGGCAAAAGACAATGAGCAGGTTCTGATCGCTGGCTTTTCGCAGTCTGCCTCAGTCCCCCAACAGCCTACGCGGCGCTTGGTAACCCGGGCGACGACCGAGCCGGTACGATTTTCGATGGCGTCAATACCATGAGTGGCAGGTGGCTAAATCTTACGGAGACTTGCCACGGTCTCGAACCCTCCTCCTTTCTCATCCGGGCTTGGGACCGGCAACATAATCAACCGACGCAGACGGAATTGTTGTAAGACAGGTGGATTATAGAATCCTCATCTAACCTGCTTAGCCAATTTATTTCGTTAACGATTCTGGTGAATTCTGATCAACAGAGATATTCTTCTGTTTGTCTATCTTATGTTACTCGCTGCACGAAACTAGAGTCCTGTTGTCAGGGGAGGTTGACCGTGTGTCGGTGAAGCTATCACTTCCAGAAAACTCCATCTGAACGTGTCATTCACATCTTTGTGCAGTTTGACACAGCGTCTTAGTGTTTTGAGTGACGATGTTTCCTGTGATTCCAATGCAATACTTCCCATGGTAACCACGGTATTTCGTAAGCCGAGATACGAAATTGATATTCTTGAAATTACTTAATAACGCATTAAATCCGACTGCGATTTTATGCATTACGCTATGTCACGTTTCAATAAACCATTATTTCTGCTGTTATTTTCAGTATAACTACAAAAGTATGAATAAAATATTTTCAATAAAACTCAGAAGAAAGGAATGGCTTAAACCGTTCACATAAATATCGCAGTAGAACAAGATGAACAATTATGTAAACTATTCTTTGGACAAAGAGGTCGGGCGGCATTATAAGAAATCATTAAAAACATTTAACACTGAAATTTTCTCATTTAGTGCTGATGCCGAAAAATAAAAATTATCATGATCACTACCCATAAGCACGTGAAATCTGCACGACTAGAGTTATAGGCGTAACGAATACAATGCATTTCACTTCAACCGTGTACGAAGTCCTGTAGTCAGACCAACGACCGGCTTCGTCTTTCACTCGCGCATATCGTGTGCAAAAGGCCTGTAAAAGCGGTCCTGACAAGAATAAAAGCTACCTGCATATAAAATTTCAAGCATAAAGATTTTAAAAAATTATCACTGTTAATTATTACCAGTGTTCAATGCGAGGACCACCTATTTCAAATTTAATAAAGATCGTACAGAAAAAGTTAGTGCATGTTTGAAGGTTAACCTTAAACGACATCCTTTCCTGTAATGGACTGTAAACATGAAATCAATAACTGAATGTTTTTAACACATTTTAATAGCTTATAACATCGTGATAAGATCCATTACTCTTTCAAAATAAGATTTAGCTAGATTGCACAGCCCCTTACTTCAAGTTATTTTGTGGGGAGATATTTAAGCAGACTTGGGCACCTGCTGGGCCAGATGCTTCTCAAATCATTGTCTGCTAGAACTCTCCCACGCTGATGGAGACGTTTCACGCGCTGTTACTAGTAATATGCTAGCCCATAAATACCATAAATATATTGACACCTATGTGACAAAACAGAAAATAAAATGCACTGTTTGAGCTCTATTGTCCAACCGTAACAGGACATTCCGAATGATCGCATTTTTGAATGCTAAAAAAGCACGTTTCTTACCCTTTCCAGAACTCGTCATGTTCTTTCCCTCTGATCAGCGTTTCGTAGAGGAATCTGTCTGGACAATCGAACAACGCCTTAATAGCCAAAATAAAAGTAAATAATTAAAACATCATCCTAAAGAAGGGCTACGACGTACTCTCAAAATAATGACAAGTGGGACCAAAAATTGTTCCTTTCTGTGGAAAAAACACAGCATCACTCTTCGATCCCAGAGATAATGAAGAACAAGGTTTGATGCGGTATGACTCCTGCGAACACAATGCACCTGCACACCGTACTGCGTAAAATACTGTCCTCGTTGTTTCCACTGCGAACGAGTCAAAGCAATTGGCTATAAAATAACTGTTACGACATTGCACGAGATATTAACAGCGCATCAAGATATCAATCGATAGATAACATAATACTGCATATATAACAAAAACACACGCCATACTAGATCTATTAAAGTGGTCCTCCACAAAGATACAATAAAAAACGTTACACAGAATCGCAACTGACTACAAATATTCTCCAATAACCACATACCGCACACATACCATGAAATGTACTCGTTGCCGCAACATGTAAAACAAGCATTTATATTTGACTGCCGCATTTACATTAGGAAGCAATCTCATAATATCTGTATAAAAGCAAGTGTATATTTATTTACTTTTAGTTTCAGGTATTTTTCTTCGACAGTAACACAAGTTTGATTGTAACTATCTTCTTTTATCGCTTCGAGGCAAATTCAAAAGAAGATCATATGATTTGAGCAGAGAAAATCTACAAATTCGTCATGGATGGGAGAAAGTTCCTTAAGCTAGCAAATGAAATGCCAACAGAAATGTTCAAGGTTGCAAAGCAAGCTGGTAAATGGTTCGAAACACATGTCGGAAGAAAATTCGAACAGCGATTGAATATCCTCCAAAGATGGGCAAATTCTAAATATTCCATCATCGAAGCTAAGCGTTTTTTGTCACTCAGCCGATTTAGTAACATACAAAGACTGAGTTATTCATATTGCGCTGAAAAAATCTCTTTTGATAGGCAGGTTACAAGCAATAAATTGACTGATGGGAGAATGAGACCAAAAAAGAATGACCGAAATTCTCTTACCTAGCAACTACCACATTACACGAGAACTGAAACGAACTTTAAATCAGTAAGCCAAAATTGTGATAAAGAGAAAACAGCTATTCTCAGTTTGTCTAATAGAACGATACTCTGATTATAAACCTGGACGGAAGAGCAATCATAATCGTCTTTTTTCAGCGAGAACACAGCAAAATAGAGCAATAGGATTTTACTCAAGAAGATAAATCTTGAAGTGATTAGATATAATGTAGTCACATATTTCTGAACAGCATGTAACATTAAATAATTTTAGACAGCGCATTATAATCGAAACCCAAAAACCAACTACTAAGGAATAAAATGCTACCAACATTGTACACAGGCAGAATACTGTAATCAAATTCTAACAGAGAATAATTTATTTACTATGGAGCAGTGGTTTTTATCCTTAATCTTCATCTTCACGCTGATAAAGGAATGCTATGACAGGGTTCTTCGCGACAAATAAATATCGCTATTTCAGGTCTTTATCAATTTTACCTATTTTTATTGCCTTAAGTACGGTAGGGAATTTCAGAAGTAAATTATTATTCTATAAAATGAACATAATCATACAACTTTATTAAATGTTTCACTGTAGTAAATAAATAGCAATAGTTAGCTGTCCTACATTAGCATAATAAAACAGCGACTATATTATGCCCAGAAACGATCGGTTAATAATGGGTAGTAACAGACATACTGTAACATAGAAGGTTACAGCATACAATAACAACAGATGTAGCATTCTGTTGTATATGTATTTCCATGAAAACAGATCGAATGATCCGAAACGCAGGAAAATTTGTATATAATAACTTTTGTTAGCGATTTCATCCCATAAAGGACCTGTAGAGATTTGAACTAGATTCCCGCAAACAACATTCCACTTTCGTGTTCCAAGCTGATCGTATTACTTATGGATATCTGAAAAAAACGTACAGCTCAACTGAGAGAACAAATTAGAAACAGGAATATTGCCACTAGTAAGTAATGCTAAAGTTCGAAATATCTGTCGCTGAGCGGTACAGCCAATTTCAATAACAAAACGTTTTATATGATATAACGCAGCATACTTCAAGGTACAAAGAATCGATGGATCTGTCAGTCGCCTTCAGCTACAGTGGTGAAATGGACTGATAAGCCAGAGTGATAGTGAAAGTTTCTATACAATACCCGCAACACTTAAGTACAAGGTCACGTTTCTACAGATTTGTTGGTCCTTTCTCAACTACAATGCTGAAAAGGACTGACAGGCCAGTTGAAACTTGATAATGTTTACAAACTGCGGGTACTGCATGGAATCTCTTATTATCAAAAGTCTGCTCAAGCAAAGGTACACGAGCAGAAAGCCGAAACAAAAACTTACGAAATTTCGTCTTGGCACAATATGCAGCCTCACAATTTTCTCTAAACCACCAATGATAAAGTAGCCGCCCAACTCCTCAAACAAACACGTAAGTAGAAAGTCTTCAGTATGGCAAACCTTACGCTTTCTTCTTCGCCCTTGGCAATCAGCTGCTTCGGAGTGAAATTTTGCAAATGGCATCTTTTTGACTGAAATTAAAAATGTTCCTAATTAAATTACTAAAAAATAAGTTTAGATTCCTCTTTCATCATAATATAAAATACCACGAGATGCTAAACTCCTAACAAGCAAAACTTCTTAAATAGCTCTATGATTCACTGATACCTGTCGAAGATGATGAGTGCGAGGTGGCAGATAATCAAGATCAAGTTTACAGACAAAAACTAATACTGATATAACATCGGGCAGCTGACCTTTACTTAGAAAAGAAAAAATATCTGCCAGTTTCATTACCCACCCGGTGAGGGCTAGAAACTACAGTCGAAACTGGGTCCCTCCGTAAAGTAATGTGTCATGTGTAAATACTTCAAGAATTTTCCATCGTTGTATAGTTCCTGTCTTTCATTACGTGGAATCAAGTACGATCGAAACGTAACAGAATATCCTACAAATTACATCTGATACGTTGTGTGTAAAGTAAACTATCTTCAAAATGCCGGACACCACTGATTGCTTTTAATTCCAGGAATGGAAACTTAAGGATAAAAAACATTGACCTAAGATCATGGTCACCCTATGCTTTATTTCTACAAAATGAATAAACATAAGTAAAGAATATCAGAAAACAATCACATGTTCTGATTTCCGCTTACGAGGTATCGCAAATTCTAATTTTATACATGGAACTTCTTCGAAAATAATTTAATAAACGAAATGTCGATCTGAAAGAGACTTAATACCGAAACTGTTGAATCGCGTTTAAGATTCAACTGCAAATCATAAACCAATTAATAATTAAGAAAAAATGAATTCCCAGGTTGAATTTCACTATCCATAAACGAATCTTTTTATTACCTTCACCATTATTGGAATCTCACCGATAGTCACAGATTCCAATTTATCAACCATTACTCCGTCGAGCGCCAAGTTTATCGAAGCCGTAACCCTGGCTTTGTAAGTCAGACCACGTTGACGACACTGAGGAAAAACCTTATAAGTAAGGTAGAAA